CCCCCCAGTCCAGATCCAGGCAGCAGTCTGTGAGAGGCAGGCAGGCAGCAGTCTGTGAGAGGCAGGCAGGCAGCAGTCTGTGAGAGGCAGGCAGGCACTGCGAGGGCCTTCCGCCCGGGGCGTCGTCGTCGACAATGCGGCAGCGTTGCAGACAGTCAGCTGCTCTCTTGTTTCAGGGTGACGACGGCGTAAACATGGACAGCTATTCACAGACGGTTAGCAGCGTCACGGCGACGCCGCATCAGTGCGAGTATTGCTACAAGCAGTACGCGAACAAGCAGAAGGTGAGTCGCGCGCGGGGGAGTGCGAGAGTCAGCCGTGTCAGTGACTGTGCGCTTTCTCTTTTCTCGTTTTGGCAGGCGACCAGCGGGGCGGACGCGCCGCGCGTCACGCTGCCCCCGCAGCCGTGTCAGTACTGCAGCAAAACGCTGTCCAGTAGACAGAAGGTGGGTGACTGACGCACAGACGACGACACGGTAGCATGCTCTCTCTCTCTCTCTCACTGTATCTCCCTCTTTTTTTCTCTATCTGCCTCTCTGTCTATCTTTCTATCTATCTCTCTTTCTTTCTCCTTCTCTTTTTTTCTCTCTCTCTCTCTCGCTCTCTCTCGATCTGCGTGAATTCAGTATTGTGTCGCTTCTGTAGATGCATGGCTGCATGAGGCATTGAGCAACCATAGGCCTGCATACTGCCGTGTCGTGGATATACAGTCAAACCTTTATATAAAGGCCACCACTCGAGCAGGTGTCCATTCTATAGAGGTAGTTTCACAATATCACAACCCACTCGATGGCCACAACCGTCCTTTATAGGCAGGTTCTGTAGCGGTGGTGTCAGCTATCGCAGGTTTGACTGTGTATCCGTCTGGGCGCGAGTCTGCTATAGAGGATTGCGGGCCTCCGCGTGCGCGCTGGTGACACAGCTGTAGACTCGCGCTTGCCTTCATCATTCACAAGCCTTGCTGAGATATAGATTTCTCTGTCACTCGGTCCGTTCTCCCTGCGACGCGTCGTTAACAACCCGCGTCTTCTCCTTCCGTTCCCGGTAGTTGATGCAGCATCAGCGCAAGAAACATCCGGAGATGGTGCCGCCGGCGCAGCAGCGCCCCCTGGCGTTGGCGCCGCTGGGGGCGGCGGGGCAGGCGCGTATTGTGACGTCGACGCCAACGGGCCAGCTGTCGCGGTCGCCGGCGCCCCCGCAGCAGCAGCAGCAGCAGCATGCGACGATCGGTGGAGAGGTGATCGAGATTCCGTACATGCAGCCGGACCCCACGCGACCCACCTTCATGACAATCCAGCGCATGCCTGTACGACAGATGCAGGTGAGGAGGCGAGAGAGCGAGTGAGATCTGTGATGTTCAAATGTTGGTTTCCAGGTCTGAAACTTCCAGTGTTTTCCGTGTCTGGGTGTTGTCAGAAATTTTGAAATGTGATTTCAGAGTCTGGAAAGTATAGAAAAATAGCCTGTTGTCACGGAAAGTCGCACAAAATAGAATATTATGTGTTTTATCCTGGAAAAACTTTTTAACTGGAAAATTTCCCAACCGTAACTGTCGGTAACCGCCGCGTGTCGTGCTTCATAGCTTCCGCATGAGCGTATGGAGCGGGTTGAGATTCCGATCAGCATAGACAACAGCAGCCAGGCGACGGATCTGCTCACGCAGGCGATGTCCGAGCTTACCCAGACTCTCAGCGACTACAGGGTGCCGCCGGGGGAATACCCGATGCTAGCGGAGAGGTAGGTGCATAGTTCCCTCACGCACCTGCCGCCGCGTGGCTCGCATGACCGCTATGTGTATATCATCGTGTATACTGCTGCGCAAATCGATGGCATGTTCCACAATGCTGCCGTAGCGTCATGTTTTTCTCTTGCTCCTTCGCCACGCACTGATCATTATATTTGCCCCCGTTTCTCTCTCACATTAGCATCGTGTTTTTCTCTCGCTCCCTCGCCACGCACTGATCATTATATTTGCCCCCGTTTCTCTCTCACATTAGCATCGTGTTTTTCTCTCGCTCCCTCGCCACGCACTGATCATTATATTTGCCCCCGTTTCTCTCTCACATTAGCATCGTGTTTTTCTCTCGCTCCCTCGCCACGCACTGATCATTATATTTGCCCCCGTTTCTCTCTCACATTAGCATCGTGTTTTTCTCTCGCTCCCTCGCCACGCACTGATCATTA